CTTTGGGCTAGGGTACACACGCTTTTGAGATTAAGTTGCTGTGCATTTACAAAGTTAGTCTGGTTGAAAAAAGAAAAAAGTTCATCCAGTTCAAACAAAAAAAAGTTATAATCCTATACCCACAGTTGATCCAGAGGAAGGCAAAAAAACCCAGCAAAGCATGATCCAATTTTGCTCCTGCTGGGAAACAAATTCCTTCCTGATCCCCTGAGAGGCAATCAGATATTCCCTGGATCAACTTTACCTATAAATGTTAGTATCCAGTTATATTCTGTGTAGCTAGGAAATAATCCAGGCCTTTTTAAAAGCAATCCACTGAGCTGGCCAGAACCAACTCTTCATGGAGTCTATTCCACATCTCTTACTGTGAAGAAACCTTTCGTTGTTTGGAAATTAACCCCTTGACCTTTGACCTTGACCTTGACCCAAACACTAACCCTGGGACTGAACTAGATTAAACCTTGATCTAGGTATTTTTTCTTAATTTTTTCTTTTATTTTTTTAATATTTATTTATCTTTTTTTTAACAACACTTTTTTTTTCTCTCTATGCCAGGTACAATGTATCTCTCTCCTCCATTCACAGAGAGAGAAAAAAAACAAGGGGGCCGGGTTGTACAGTGACTGATCACTATGATAGTCAATCAGAGGCTATCACAGCGATCATGTGACCCAGAATCAGGAGTCCCAGGTCCCGATCGTTATAACGAGACCCGGTGCTCTCAGTGACACCTCGGTCTTTGTGTTGGGAGTGTGCCGTGCGGCGCACTCCCAGCACAAAGACAGGTACGCAAATATGCGGCCCCACAAAAAAAGCCCAGTTCTGTGAGGCCACATATTTATGTTACGCCGGTGTCAAGGGGCTACATTTCTTTTCCTCCAGACATAAAGAGTGCCCCCTTGTTCTCTGTGATGACCTCCGGGTGAATAACTCTACACCGAGTTCACTATATGAACCACTGATGTATTTATACATGTTGATCATATCCCCCTTAATTTCCTCTTCTGAAGAGAGAATAAAATCACCAAATTTTACACTCTTAAGTTTGTTTTTTTAAAGCAGCCCCAATGTGTTCTCCATAGGGATATTCTATGGTGGCTGCATTTGGGGAGATCTACTGGTGCAGCTGTGCATTGTAGCCAATCAGCTTCTAACATCAGCTTGTTCAATTAAGCTTTGACAAAAAGAAAAATCTGGAAGCTGATTGGTTTCTATGCTGCACCAAAGTTTGCACCCTACAGTTTTAGTAAATCGACCCCAATAGCTGCACGGGAGGGATTTTCTTTCCTGCAACCAAATTCGCAGAATCTATGGCCTGCCTAAGCTTGCAACTCCATATTCAAAAGCCCATGGTTTGCAATTGTACCTGTTCACACCTGAGCATAGTGTAGCTTGAAGCTTGTAGCATGAAAAAGTACACAGGATTGTTCTGAGCTACATGCTTCAAGCATTTTTGGCCCTGGTAGACTTCAGTGGGAGTACCTGGAAAACACGCATATTGCACATTTTCTACCTGAGTAACTAGTTTTTCGGTGGCTAAAAATCATTTTTACAAAATGCTCAAGCCTGAGATGCCCCAAAAAATTGTTCAAAATCATCTTTACAAGTGCTTAAAAAAAAAGCAAACAAACTGTAAAACAAACACAAACAGCTCAAATGTCAATGCAGCTTAATGAATGTTCTATAACTAATTTTATATGTTATGTTAATCTCTATGTTTCTTGTACAGTGTTATTTCTGGGAAAGTCACCTAAAATTCTGCTATAGTTACACAGGCCATATATGTATTTCCACCCTTTATGCAGTTTGGTATTTTCCTTTCCTTTTGCCTATGTAGCCACCAATTATTTATTTATTTATTTCAGGTACTTATATAGAACCGTCAATTTATTCAGCGCTTTACATATATATTGTAGATTCACAACACACACATACTAGGGCCAATTTGGACAGGATCTAATAAACCTACCAACATGTCTTTGGAGGGTGTAAAGAAACCGGAATATCCGGAGGAAACCAACACAGGCACAGAGAGAACATGCAAACTTCAGGCAGGTGGTGCCGTGGTTGGGATTCGAACCAACGAGTACTGCCAGGCAGAAGTGCTAACCATTTAGCCAACGTGATGCAATTATTATATGCCCCACTATATGATTTAACTTTTCTGTGCATAGCTAACCACAAAGTCCAAAATTATATATGTAGATTGGTTCGCAATGCTGGCAGCTGAGGAGCTGCTGCAGGGACTGGATTGGCAGCTTACATTGTCTCTGTAAGGACTCATGTACACTGCAGCTGATAAACTGACTTTTCTGCGTTTTTTTTTTTTTCAGCAGCCCCTGAACTCTCCCTAATGTTTTCCTATGTGTCCATGTACACTATGTCGTTTACAATCGTTTAGAGGCAGTTGAATTTACAGTCATTTTTTTTTAACGCAGCAAACTGGCGTTCAGGAGTAGATTTTATCAGCGTTTCAAACGCCGAACATTTGTAAACACGGTTAACCGCGTTTAAAAGTGTTTCCGTTTAGAACCGTTTTTGACTGGTCCATATTCAGGACACAATTCACTACAGGGTATCCTACGGCATCCGAGTATGCCGTAGGATACCGCATAGCATTTATTTTCAAAAATCCATTTGAATCCACTAAAAAAGGCTACTAAAATACCGCATGATTCTTTTGTTTTTTCCTTTTTTTCTTCGGAGTGGTGGCATTGGCAGCGGACACCGTGGTATCGTGATTGATGTTGGATCTACTTCGGGAAACATTATTTTATTAAAGGAATTGTCAAAGAATGTCTCCTGTCTTTTTTTCACACTTTTTTTTTGTGAATGGGTAGTGGTACCATGTATCCCATAATCATTCACGTGGGGGGGGGGCGGTATCTGGGGGCCCCTTGCTAAAAGGGGCTTCCAGATTCCGATAACCCCCCACGCCCGCAGACCCCCACAACCACTGGCCAGGGTTGTGGGGAAGAGGCCCTTGTCCCCATCAACATGCTCCCCCTACCCCAAAGCACCCCCCCATGTTGAGGGCATGTGACCTGGTATGGTTCAGGAGGGGGGGCACTCACGCTTGCTCACCCTTCCCCTTTCCTGACCTGCCGGGTTGCATGCTCGGATAACGGTCTGGTATGGATTTTGGGGGGAACCCCACACCGTTTTTTTTTTAATTTTGGTGTGGGGCTTCCCTTCAAAATCCATACCAGACCCAAAGTACTTGGTATGGATTGGAGGGGGGACCCCATGCCGTTTTTTTTTAATCATTTTTTAATTGCTGGCAATTCTTTCTTTTACATTCAGCTGTCAGTGGGAACCCCGCTGACAGCGGAAACATGATGCATGCTTTTCACTACTAAAATACCGCATGACTTGATAAAATAACTCATGCGGTATTTTAGTAGCCTTTTTCAGTGAAATCACTATTTTTCAGTGCATTCTGGGCATTTGGGAAGGTCTCCTGAGGTTATCTTTTAAAAACACTTCTAAATGCAAACGTGCCTAAACACATTATGCAAACGCAGCTAAACTGACGTTTTTTAACCTACATTTTTCAACAGTCAGTTTCCATCGAGTTTTCCAAATGCCCCATGTACATGAGCCCTAACTCCTCCCTCCACCCCGCAGCAGAAAGAGTGACAGGAGTGGCTGCAGTAACAGGAATAGAACCCTGCCCTTGTGAGAAGCCTGGTTAAGCCCACCCACTACCCAGGGAACACAGAGGAAGAGGATATAGATTGCTGTGGCTCCTGGGAATGACAAAAAGCATGCTGGGAGAAACTAGGGCTGATGGGAGATATAGTCTCCACATTGTAACAGCCCTGTTAAGAAGAAACTACAATATCCAGGGTGTTTAGGGAGAAGAGGCAGAGCAAATAGGAGGTGAAGTAGAACTGAGAACCAGAGTGGGTAGAGAGATCACATGTGGGGATACAGAGGCTGCAGCCACAGGTTGTAGGGTTTTCTGGCTGCTGCTGGGGATAAGGTCACTGAACCCAGTCATAGGGCTCAATGCTGCACACCTGCCTGTGTGGAATGAGCTGCTGCATCAAGACCAGCTTCCTGTCTAATATTGTGCTGCTACAGGAGCCAGAAAGAGGAAACAATGTGTACTAACATCTGTGTTGCCCCATGCTGCTGTGTGCTGCCTGGTGTGAGGACTGAGAAGCTGCTATCATTGCATGGGAGTGTTGGCTACCAGGATTTGTATTATCATTGTTGGTTGCTCCACTTGTTTTCTGCCCTGCAAGGATTTTGTCTGTTCATTAAAGCCCATTTAAAGCCACAGTTGTGTTGAGGTATGTTGTGCTTCAGAGTCGTAGGCACTGAGAACAGGGATCAACGCATCTGTTGACAAAGCAGGGTGTTTTTAACAAGGGGTTGCAAATGGGAATTCATCTCTTGAAGGATGTTCTCACAGAGGCCCCCCAATGTAATGTGTGGGGGTAGAGGAGCATCAGCCCAGACCTCCTGGTGATGTGAAAAATCAAAATGACTGATTTCCTGACTTGTAACAACATCAAAGGGGGCTAGATGTGTGCTGTGATGCTGACCTGGGACAAAAAGATTCATGGCAATATAACAGTGACCCTGGTGGAGACAACGGCATACTTCCTGGAGGATTCAGGGTAGCACATTACTTCCTGGTGATTAAAAATGACAGCCCCTTATAATTTATGGATGGTAACTCATTGGACAGAGGACTATATAGGCCAGCCTAAGGGCGTTGAATAGATGTTGCTTATGAGTGGCATAAATGTAATGGCCAGCCATTGTCCTCTCTCCTTTAACCAGAGTCCAGCCAAAAGATACTCAACTTTGAAGAAAAACTTATGTAATGTATCATCTGTGCTCTTTGTGTCTGTATACATATTGCCAAAAGTATTGGGACACCCCTCAAAATCATTGCATTTGGGTGTTTCAATCACTCCCATGTCGACAGGTGTATAAAATCAAGCAACTAGGCATACAGACTGCTTCTACAAACATTTGTGAAAAAAATGGGTCACTCTCAGGAGCTCAGTGAATTCAAGCGTGGTAACCGTGATAAATTGCCACCTGTGCAATAAGTTCAACCGTGAAATTACCTTGCTACTAATTATTCCAGGGTGAACTGTTAGAGATATTATAACAAAGTGGAAGCAATTGGGAACAACAGCAACTCAGCCATGAAGTGGTAGGCCATGTAAAATGACAGAGTAGGGTCAGTGCATGCTGAAGCACAGTGCGCAGAAGTTGCCAACTGTCTGCAGAGTCAATAGCTAAAGACCTCCAAACTTTGTGTGGCCTTCAGATTAGCACAACAACAGTGCATGGAGAGCTTCATGGAATGGGTTTCCATGGCCGAGCAGCTGCAACCAAGCCTTATATCACCAAGTACAATGCAAACCATCGGATTCAGTGGTGTAAAGTACGCTGGATTCTAGAGCAGTGGAGACTTGTTCTCTGGAGTGACCAATCACGCTTCTCTGTCTTTAGTAGCAAGGAATTTTCACGTATGAACTTATTGCACAGGTGGCAACCTGTCACGGTACCACTCTTGAATTCACTGAGCTCCTGAGAGTGACCCATTCTTTCCAAATGTTCGTAGAAGCAGTCTGCATGCCTAGGTGCTAGATTTTATACACCTATGACCATGGGGGTGATTGGAACACCTGAATCCAATAATTTGGAGAGGCGTCCCAATACTTTTAGCAATATAATATGTATATACAGTATATATATATATATATACAGTTGTGTTCAAAATAATAGCAGTGTGTTGAAAAAAGTGAATAAAGCTCAAAATGCTTCTAATAGCTTTTATTTCCATACACACAAATGCATTGGGAACACTACACATTCTATTCCAAATCAAAACATGAAGAAAAATATATCAAATTTGTGTGTTAGACTGTTCAAAAAAAAAGCAGTGTTTGTATTCTTCTTTACAAACTCAAACATTCACTATATAAACTGAAAAATGTTTGAAGATTTTTCTTTCCTTTGAATCACTTAATTAATATTTAGTTGTATAACCACTGTTTCTGAGAACTGCTGTACATCTGTGTTGCATGGAGTCAACCTACTTCTGGCACCTGTGAACAGGTATTCCAGCCCAGGATGATTGGACTACATTCCACAGTTCTTCTCTATTTCTTGGTTTTGCCTCAGAAACTGCATTTTTGATGTCACCCCACAAGTTTTCTATTGGATTAAGATCCGGGGTTTGGGCTGGCCACTCCATAACGTCAATCTTGTTCGTCTGGAACCAAGATGTTGCACGTTTACTGGTGTGTTTGGGGTCGTTGTCTTGTTGGAACACCCATTTCAAGGGCATTTCCTCTTCAGCATAAGGCAGCATGACCTCTTCAAGTATTCTGATGTATTCAAACTGATCCATGATCCCTGGTATGCGATAAATAGGCCCAACACCGTAGTATGAGAAACATCCCCATATCATGATGCTTGTGCAACCATGCTTCACTGTCTTCACAGTGTACTGTGGCTTGAATTCAGTGTTTGGGGGTCATCTGACAAACTGTCTGCGGCCACTAGACCCAAAAAGAACAATCTTACTTTCATCAGTCCACAAAATGTTGCGCCATTTCTCTTTAGGCCAGTCAATGTGCTCTTTGGCAAATTGTAACCTCTTCAGCACATGTCTATTTTTCAACAGTGGGACTTTGCGGGGGCTTCTTGCAGATAGCTTGGCTTCACATAGGCGTCTTCTAATTGTAACAGTACTCACAGGTAACTTTAGACATTACATTACATTACATTGAGTTTATATAGCGCCAAAGGGTTTGCTCAGCGCTGTACAATAGAGGGGGGACAATACATGAAACATTACAGCAACAGCAAACAGCACACGAGGGGTTATAGGGCCCTACTCTTTCGAGCTTACAATCTAGGAGGGAGGGGGTAGAGGTACAGGAGGAAGTGGCTGTGGGGGATGGAGTGGTAGGAGGAATGAAGGAGAGCAGCAGTTAGGTGAGGGTGGGGTAGGCTTCCCTGAAGAGGTGGGTTTTCAGGGAGCGCCTGAAGGTGAGGAGGGAAGGTGACAGTCTGATGGATTGGGGTAGTGAGTTCCAGAGGATGGGGGAGGACCTGGAGAAGTCTTGCAGACGTGCGTGTGAGGAGGAGACCAGGGAGCAAGATAGAAGGAGGTCCTGTGAAGAGCGAAGGGTACGGGTAGGGTGGTACTTGGGAATCAGGTTGGTGAGGTAGTTAGGGGCAGTGTTGTGAATGGCTTTTTAGGTCAGAGTGAGTAGTTTGAATTTGATGCGTTGGGCGATAGGGAGCCAGTGGAGGGAGAGGCAGAGGGGGGGGGGGTGGCAGAGGTGGAGCGGGTGGTGAGGTGGATGAGTCTAGCCGCTGAGTTGAGGATGGTCTGAAGCGGGGAGAGCCTGCACTGGGGTAGGCCGGTGAGGAGGGAGTTGCAGTAGTCAAGGCGTGAGATAATCAGGGAGTGCACAAGTAGTTTAGTGGTGTCTGGGGTAAGGAAGGAGCGTATTTTGGCGATATTGCGGAGGTGGAGTCTGCACGTGTTTGTGAGTGATTTGACATGAGGTTGGAAGGAGAGGTTAGAGTCCAGAATGACTCCAAGGACTTTGGTTTGCGGGGCGGGATTGATGGTAGTGATGTTAGTAGTGATGGATAGGATGGGGGGGGGGGCGCGGGCAGGAGGGAAAACGAGAAGCTCGGTTTTGGAGAGGTTGAGTTTGAGGAAATGGAGCGACATCCAGTCAGAGATGTCGTTTAGGAGGTGAGTGATGCGGGCGGAGAAAGTGGAGGTGAGGTGAGGGGTGGAGAGGTAAATTTGAGTGTCATCAGCATAGAGATGGTAGTTGAAGCCGTGGGAGTGTATGAGTTTTCCAAGGGAGGAGGTGTAGATGGAGAAGAGAAGGGGTCCAAGGACAGAGCCCTGGGGGACCCCAACAGAGAGGGGGAGTGAGGGGGAGGTGGCACCATTGTAGGTGACACTGAAGGAGCGTCGGGATAGGTACGAGGAGAACCAGGAGAGAGCGGTGTCTCTGATGCCAAGGGAGAGTAGTTTATTAAGGAGGAGGGGGTGGTCAACTGTGTCGAAGGCCGCGGAGAGGTCCAGGAGGAGGAGGACAGAGTAGTCGCCTTTGGCTATGGCGGTTAGTAGGTCGTTGGTGATTTTGAGGAGGGCGGTTTCAGTGGAGTGTAGGGGACGGAAGCCGAACTGTAGTGGATCAAGGAGGTTGTTGTCAGTTAGGTGGGCGCTTAGGCGGTTGTAGACTAAGCGCTCCAGGAGTTTGGAAGTGAGTGGCAGCAGGGAGATGGGTCTGAGGTTGTTTGGGTCAGAGGGGTCCAGGGAGGGCTTTTTGAGTATGGGGGTGATGTGCGCATGCTTTAGGGGGGAGGGGAATATGCCGGTAGAGAGGGAGAGATTGAAGATGTGGGTGAGGGAGCAGATGAGGGAAGAGGGGGGTGACTGGAGGAGTCGAGAGGGGATAGGGTCCAGGGGGCAGGTAGTGAGGCGGGCTTCTGAGAAGACCCTGGTGACTTCCTCAGTGGTAGTAGGGCTGAAGGAGTGCAGAGCTGGTGGGGTTACGGTAAGCGGGGTCTTGGGTGTGGAGGGGGGCAGTGCGGTTGCGAGGTCAGAGGAGGGAAGAGATGAGGGGGAGATAGGGGGGGGGAGGCTAGGTGGGGAGGTAGATTGCGAGTTGACTATGTCCTGACTAGACCTTCGTTGATCTTCCTGGAGCTGATTGTTGGCTGAGTCCTTGCCATTTTGGCTGTTCTTCTATCCATTCGAATGGTAGTTTTTCGCTTTCTTACATGTCTTTCAGGTTTTGGTTGCCATTTTAGAGCATTTGCGATCATTTTAGCTGAGCAGCCTATCATTTTCTGCACTTCTTTATATGTTTTCCCCTTTCCAATCAACTTTTTAATCAAGGTACGTTGTTCTTCTGAACAATGTCTGGAACAACCCATTTTCCTCAGAATTTCAGAGAGAAATGCACTGTAACCAGCATGTACAACATTTGCTGCCTTCCTTCCTTAAATAAGGGCAATATTTGCCACCTGTTTTTCAAAGAATGAATGACCTCACTAATAGAACTCCACACTGCTATTATTTTGAACATGCCCCTTTCAATTAGTGATTCAATTACACAGAATCAGCAGCATACATGTCATGACTGTTGGGTCTGTTGGATTTCTATTACTTTACTACACCTGCTAGTAAATTATTTGCCATGTAGAAATATAATTTCTACCAAAAACAGTGATTGATCAGGTTAGTGATGTCTGACTGCTATTATTTTGAACACAACTGTGTGTGTGTGTGTGTATATATATATATATATATATATATATAGTATATATATATATACAGTTAGGTCCATATATATTTGGACACAGGTTTTTTCAGGTATTTACGAAAGCATATTCAAGCTATGGTTATATAGTGGATATGGGCTGAAAGGGCACACTCTCAGGTTTAATTTGAGGGTATGTACATCCAAATTGGAGGAAGGGTTTAGGAATTACAGCTCTTAAGAGTAGCCATATCATAGAGGTTTCTTACCTTGCCCAGAGATCCCACCATTTACAGTTCTGTAGATGTCTAATGAAGTAACAGGCAGTGATTATAAGGTGCATCTTCCCCATACCCACAGCCTTATAGCCTATAGCGGTCACTTGACCACAGAAAAGGAAATCAAATAAGGCATCCATAAATTGTTAAGTTGATATGCTCAATTTGAATTGTCTGACTTTGTGACAGGTTTCCCTTATTCTGGAGGGCCCTTGCACCAGCTATCATAATATGGTAATGGTGGTTAGGCAAGGTTTTCAGATGTGTCTCAATGCTTTTTCTCTAAGTACTGTTCATGTCTGTTGGATGTTTTCATGGAGTTGGCTTATTACTAGATCCGTCTGAGAATGGCCAGTTTAACAGACTCATTTAGTGTCTATGGGTTTCTTAACAGCAAATGAGCACTGTACAAAATGTGACTGCGGTCTTGTGTAATACTTTCTATTTGAATGTTATGTCTGACCACACAACCCCTAATGTTTTTAGTTTTGGGAAAGAGTGGACATGCAGAAAAGTGTCTGCACTTGCAACTCAGCTTGAAGAAGCCTACCAAATGTCACCATTTAGTAAAGCTTTGGCCATTATCCACATTGGTCTAGTTAGAGTGATCCAAGTTGGATTGGGGTTCTCTCACGTTCACACCGCTGTAGTCATTAGTAATCAGGAAAGTTTTCTTGTTTTTCAGTTCAGTCTGTTTAAGAAGTTCAGCTTGTGTAAGAAGAAAGTTGCAGTTTCATTTCCTTAATTCTCCAGGACATGACCACTATTGCAAAGAT